AGGCGGAGACTACGGCATTATGTGCTAACGTCCATTTACCTGGGACATTGTTGTTCGGACAATACTAAAAAGTATTGTAGAAAGATTGTCACCAGAAGTGAGACTGCTGATGGGATAGTCGAGTGAGCTGCGTTCGCATCATGAAATATATACTTTTTACATCTTCATTATTATCATTATTATTAATATTCACAAATAACTTGTCCGCACATAAGTATTTTGAAGAAACCACTCCACGTTTCAAAACGGATGCAATTATATACAAGAGTTTCAATAGTGTCCATATAATGCTTGCAATATTTTAACAGTTTCTGTGATATATAGAAGAAGAAGCAGGTTTTTCTTTCTACTCCATCGTATTTTGTACGAGGATTGCTTTTTGCATATTTCTGGATAAATTTCAATGGGTATTCATTATCACGTAGAACATTAGTAATCAGATTAATTTCATCATCAAGGTATTCTTTTGAACAGATTTTTTGAGCGCGGTCCTCGTACAAAATACGATGGAGTAAAAAGAAAAACCTGCTTCTTACACTTACGTTTCAAAGATGATGAAATTGCTGGAATAATTAATCACAGAATAAACTCTGCGTTGAAAGTCACCTACCCAGCAGCAAAACTTATGACAGTATGGCAAACGAACTTCTCACTTCAACAAACCAAAATCGACAAGCCCTCTTTCCTTAGTAGCTCCAACTGCATCTACCAATTCACATGTACGTGCCAAACCACATACATTGGAAGAACTGAGAGAAGAGTGCATTTCTGAGCATGTTCCAAAAAACTTGAGGCTGCGAGGGAATAAGGCCTTCAACAGCGCAATAGCTCGACATCTACTCGACACCGAGCACACCATCGAGATTCCACATGCTTTCAAAATTATCAATAGACAAAGAAGTACGACCACCCTCCGTTTTGCTGAAGCCATCATGATCAAAAAACTTAAGCCTGACTTATGCATCCAAAAAGAGACTAATTAACTTATCACTACCCTGGTAACCCTTTTTATTTTATTATTTATTTATTTATTTTAAAATATTTATACTCCTCCCCTATTACATAATTCTTAAACCACATTATCATTCACACAATTCCGCCACCTGATCCCCTTAAATTATCTTAACTTTTCAAATTCTATCTTATTATTATTACGTAACCTATCTTATAATTATTCAATTCCATTATTACACCACCCAACCCGAATTAATTCCTTTTGACCTCTGACCTGTTCTAGCATATATATATATATATAATTATTATTGTAACCCAGTTATTTACACTCATCTATGTCAATTGTTTTCACTATATCTCAATGTAAAAATTCTATCGCAATTTGGTTTGTAAGCAGCTGACGAGAAACCTCGAAATAATATGAATTCATATTATTCTGCACCAATATTTGTTCTTGCTTTATTTAAATTCATAAAGGGAACCAATTGCATGAAGTACATTTCTAAAACTGGATACACTTAGTATTGTAACAGGTTATTCTTGATTCATTTGTTATTGATATTTTTGTATAATCTGTGGAGATAGGTCTGACAAGCTTATTTTGTAAATAGTTTTCAGTGTTAGTTGTATTTATTTTGTCAACCTTTCACTGTATGTATATTTAACATTAAATTAATTAATTATTATTATTAATGGCTTTATTCAATATTATAGTTTTGGTACAATATAGAATGACTGTAACTGTTGTTTTAGTAAATGACCTTGAACACACTTTCCGTTGGGATACTGAGAGCGTGACATATTGTTGCTGGCTAACAAATATACTGCTTCTCACACATTGCTCGTTCTATCTTCGTTTGTGATTGAGTTAACTGAAGTCTAAATCAAATACTATCTACATTTATAGACTGTAATTGGAATATATCACATTCTACGTTGGATTATATCACTGGAGAATTCGTCAACCCGATTGGAATTACCAAGCATTTATAATTGTGGATTTAGTGTACCAGACTAAAGCTGAACACGCATCAATTCGGTGAACTTAAGTAAAGTTCCAACTTTCTATTTTATTTGTAATAATTAACTTATATATATTAACATTTCTGTTGATCTTTATTAACTTTGTTGATACTTTTTGCGTTTATATATCGTCTGGTCCACCACAAATCTGTCCATGGTCAATCCAGAAAGGATAGAGCAATATTCCTGTATCAATAGAAACGTTTATTTGTCGAAATTAGTAAGTCATATCTTCTGTCAATTCATCTACCTAATATTATTTAGATTTAATTGTTTATTGAACAATTAACCTGATGGTGAGGTTTCTTTAGGCAATAATGTACATTTGAATCTATAACTATATATAGAACTATTCCTTACCCAGGCGCTTTGTTTCGGATTACGACTGGATAGTAGCACAACTGTCTCAATAACCCTACAGGTTTATTTCTCATTCCGAACCGCTTTAGTTTGGATGCTACAGTATGTTCATAGAAAACAATACGAATAAGCAGTATTATATACATTACACAGAATTTAAGATAGATCTTCATTGTAAAAGGACTTGGTAGTGAACTGACAGTTTAGGCAGTAATAGTTTAAAATCATGCAATAAAAGTCTTAATTGAAAGCAGCAAAAAGATCGTCAATATGTTAGAGTGATATTTACACGACGAAAATAAAAAAGAACTTTGAAAGTCAATTTATTTTAATTGAGTTAGTGGAGTGCAAACTTCTGTTTTTAATTAAGAATTCAGGAAGAGTAAGAATAAAACTTATGCTAAAATTGTCAGATGTGTAGTGACTCACTTTTATCACGAGAACACGATTGGTCTATTGAAAACAATTATTATTATAACCGATTGTACCAGTGACCGTTTATTGTGCTTTTGTTTAACTGTGCTAAAAAGCATCCATTATTCTTACACTTCGATTGTGACCTCGCGCGAATTCGGTTACGTTCTGTAACCAAGCTTGTATCCTGGTACGATCTCAGTATCCTTTCGATACCACGAGATCGCCAGCGAATATATCTCGATTTGGCCCATTAACTACCTTCTGATATTTCGCTTCCGGGGGATCTTATGGATATCCTGGCACGCGTTCCTTTGTAGCGGTGTTCATAGTCAATTTCGACTCGACTCCACGCTACAGATGTTTCAAGGGATCAATCACAATAATAAAAGTAAATCGCATAGTAACATCTTAGGTGAAATATAAATTTTAAGTTAGCTTGGGTAAAAGTATATAAACTTGTGTGGTATGGCATAAAGCAAGATGCGTTAGTAAAATAAGTTTTTTAAGCAGTAACAGTTTGGAATGATGCATTGGAAGTCATAGTTGTTATTTTATGATCGAGAATTCAGGTGGTGCCAGAATATCTTGGTAAAATATAAGGAACATTCAAAGAATATTTATTTGCAAATTTCCATCATTTGTCCTTCACAATCTGTATGATTCTTTCAGTTCTTAATTTCTTTATATTTCCATTTCTATTCTCTTCTGCTCGATCTTATTAGCCTTTTGCTTTCAGGTTCTCAACATCCATTGGCCGGATGCCATCAGAAACAGTCTTTTGTGGGAGAGAACAAATCAGCTTCCAGCTGAAGAAGAAATTAGGAAAGGACGATGGAAACGGATAGGACATACATTACGCAAATCATCGAACTGCATCAAGAGGCAAGCCCTAACTTGGAATCCTGAAGGGAAGCGGAAAAGAGGAAGGCCAAAGAACACATTACGTCGGATAATAGAAGTAGATATGAAAAGGATGAATTACAACTGGAAGGAGCTGGGAAGGGTTACACAGGACAGGGTTGGATGGAGAATGCTGGTGAGCGGCCTATGCTCCTTCACAAGGAGTAACAGGCGTAAGTAAGTAAGTTTCAGGTTCTCCACTTCCAACTGGTGTTACATGCTGCTTATGTTGACAGACTTTCATTACTATTGTTTCAATCTGTGATTATTACATGTCATATTACCATACTACCAATTTCAAACCTGAGCTTTTAGCAGCTTGAGCTCATTCATATAGAAGATATAGAGCATCTATCCACTAAAATTTACACCTATATGGCACATTTATGCAAGCCTCCATTCTGTGAATTGACAAAAGGCTATACAATAATGAGATTATCACATCATTTTATAAATAATAATTAGTAATTAATTTTCATATAACACTATACTACATGAGGCATGTCAGCTTACAAGCAAGATTAGAACGTTACAAGGTTTATTGTAATATGTTATTCAGTTAGGTTGACACATAATGCAACATAGAATTCGGAATTCGAACACATGGGAATATAAATAACGTTGTGATTATTCATAATATGTAGCAGGTAAGATGGTGGTTGGAGGTAGTCAACAGGAAACTATGAACCTAGGTCTCGTGCTACTTGGCACTCGTCAGCAAGGTGTACCTGTATTCTTGAGGGAACTAATACACAAATGTCGAGTCACCTAGACTGGCTCATATTAGACGTTATATTGCTGATCCTTACGATACTACGAGTCAGTATAGACAATGATGAGACTTCCACGTAATATCTCATAGATTAGGTAGTCACATCATGACAAATGTACAATTTTAGGATTAGGTCTATTATTAGAGTAGTGCTAATACCGAACTAGACCATTCTACATAATGTCGAGTTTGGACCTGCTGTGATTTTTCCAGGGTCAGAACATGGATGATATTTCACTTTTCAAACATTATGAAAATTGAATTCATAGAGCGACACTAAAACAAAAACTTGATCATTAACTCTCTGGGACGACTTTATGAATGTCCTGCCTTTTATTTTTATTAATTTCATCTATTTAACAACCCTACATATGAAACATTTTAGCTAAAAATAAATGTTGTAAATTATAAACTATGCCTGCGAAAATGGTGTAGTGACTCACATTTATCACGAGAACACGACTGGTTTAATAAAAACAATTATTATTATAACCAACTGTACCAGTGTTTGTTTTAACGTGCTTTTGTTTGACTGTGCTAATGACAGCTATTTTGTGCTTCCATTCTTATACTTACACTTTGATTGTAACTTCGCGCGAATTCGGTTACGTTCTGTAACCAAGCTTGTATCCTGACACGATCTCAGTATCCTTTCGATACCACGAGATCGCCAGCGAATATATCTCGATTTGGTCCACTAACTGTCTTCTGATATTTGGCTTCTCGGGGATTTTATGGATTTATTTGGTTACGCTCTACCTTCGCCTTCTGATTTACTTGGCACGTGTTTCTTGGTAGCGGTGTTCACAGTTAATCCCAACTCGACACCACGCTACAATCGTGTGAACCCGCTCTGGCAGAAATATATTATTGATGATTGTTAATTCCAAAATTTTTGATTCAATTCTTAATACTAACAAAATGAAAATCTACTTCAACATTATTTAAAAGTAAAACAAAGTGGTATTATAATAATGAAGAACGGTTTAGCATAGAGATATCTTAACAAGTCACATCAAATTACATAGTAATAACCGTAAGTTAAAAGGTAAGCTTATAAGAAGTACAAGTATTAAGTGCTTAGAAATAGAAGGACAATCAATATTGTTGAAATGTTGATATTAGTATTATCTTTGATTTAAATTAGGAATTCAGTCAATGTTCGTTTAGGTATGTTGTCCATTTGAGTTGATTTCCAATTACATCTGAATTAGTAGGCTAACTGGAAGAACAAAAGCATAATCACAAAGATGAAGAATATGAACTCGTGTTTCCGTTGGTTTGTTAAGTCTAATATGGTTTATTTAGTTGTAGAAAGACTTTTTCGATATCATTATTGGTTAACCTTGCCAAGATTCAATAAAACTACTAATACATATGAACTATTATCAAAAATCCATTAAATAGGTGGAAAAAGATAATCATGTGAACTTTGAATAGACAGCTAACAGTAATTAAATCCGTAAGATGCATGTTCTAGGCTCACTGATTTCACGTGTAATAAACCAGCTATTTATATTCATACATACGAGTTGTAAGGATAAAGTCTGTGATAATATGGAGACAGATCTGAATGAAATTGAACGATTATGAGATGAAATGGTGTTGTGCGATACATTTGGTTAGACAAATCTTCAGAAGATGATGAACAGTGAGTCCCACTCAAGTGATTATGGTCGGGGACATGGGTTGTAGCCAAAGGGAGTACAACTCCCAACTCATGTCTATGATAATGGTGTAGTGACTCACGTTTATCACGAGAACACGACTGGTTTAATAAAAACAATTATTATTATAACCAACTGTACCAGTGTTTGTTTTAACGTGCTTTTGTTTGACTGTGCTAATGACAGCTATTTTGTGCTTCCATTCTTATACTTACACTTTGATTGTAACTTCGCGCGAATTCGGTTACGTTCTGTAACCAAGCTTGTATCCTGGCACGATCTCAGTATCCTTTCGATGCCACGAGATCGCCAGCAAATAAACCTCGACTTGGTCCATTAATTGCCTTCTGGTATTCGGCTTCTCGGGGATTTTATGGAGTCATTTGGAACGAGCTTCTTACGCCTTCTGATTCGCTTGGCACGTGTTTCTTGGTAGCGGTGTTCATAGTTAACCTCAACTCGACGCCACGCTACAATTAATAATCCCAATACGAATACAATTGGTGACCCGTATTTTGGAACACGCCTCAACTTCTGATCAAATCTTCTAAAGAAGCCAATTCGGTGAGTCTATGATTTATCTATCCACGTCTGTCGTATATTTTCATATTTTTTAATATATAATATACGCGACATGACGGATAACGATAAGAATAGTATTAATATAATAGACTCACACGTATGTGTACCGAATCCTTGTCACTTTTTATTCGCGTGATGATGAATTCCACGCTTTATTCGAGAAATGTTACCCTATTAACGATTCTGCACGTACTGCATTCACTGAAATCAAAACGGCTCTTGCGCAAGCCACTCTTCTCGCCCATCCCGATCCATCAGCCACGCTTAGTATAGCGGTTGATGCATCCGATGTTGCTATAGGAGCAGTCATGCAACAAAACATCTCCGGTAGTTGGCAACCTCTCGAGTTTTTCTCACGACGCCTTACTGCCACGGAGACGAGATATAGCGCTTTTGGTCGCGAGCTGCTAGCAGCCTACTGCGCCATCAAACATTTTCGGCACGCAGTAGAAGGACGTCGATTCATTTTATTCACCGACTATAAGCCCTTAACGTATGCTTTGCATACCAAGTCTGACCGCTACTCACCACGAGAGTGCAGACATTTGGACTATATCTCCCAGTTCACGACAGACCTTCGTCACATCCAAGGCAAGTCGAACTGTGTTGCCGATGCTCTATCACGAATCCAAATGAATGCAGTTACCCTGCCGGTGCTCGATCTTCATGCTATGGCCGCTGCCCAAGCAAACGATCCCAGCTGTACAGAAGCACCACACTCTACGTCCCTTCAGTATCAGGAAGTACCTCTAGCCACGACTTCTGGCACCATTCTATGTGATACTTCTACTGGTCTTCCTCGACCCATCGTACCCTCTGCTTATCGCCGTCCCGTATTCGATGCCCTACATGGATTATCTCACCCAGGTATCGCAGCTACATTACGCCTCATCGCTGCACAATACGTCTGGCCGTCCATGAATAAAGATGTTCGTATGTGGGCTAAGCAATGCTTACAATGTCAACGATCAAAAGTGCATAGGCACGGAGCCGCCCCCCTCGGTACATTCGCTACGCCTGATGCTCGCTTCGATCACGTTCACTTAGACATTGTAGGACCACTGCCACCATCGCACGGGTATGATCACATACTCACGTGCATCGACCGCTTCACCAGATGGCCCGAAGCTATACCCATCACGTTTATCACGGCGGAGACAGTTGCTCACCGCTTCGTAGAACGATGGATAGCTCTATATGGTTGTCCCTCGACCGTCACGACTGACCGAGGACAACAATTTGAGTCCGCACTATTCTCCTCACTTACTCGGCTGCTTGGTACGGAACGAATACGCACTACCGCCTACCATCCAGCTTCAAACGGTTTAGTTGAAAGGTTTCACCGGCAACTTAAAAGTGCTCTTCGAGCACACGAAAACGACGACTGGTACGAAACCTTACCGCTCGTTCTTTTAGGTATCAGAACGAGTTTAAAGGCAGATATCCAATGTTCCGCCGCTGAACTTGTATACGGCACGACATTGCGTCTGCCCGGGGAATTCTTCACACCACGGAGCAGACCTAATTTCGCTAAATCAGACTACGTCCAACGACTGTCTGCATTTATGCGAACGCTGCCTCCGGTGTCAACTCGAATACAACATCGACAGGTCGCTCTCCCTCGAGAGTTATCTACCTGTTCACATGTTTTTGTACGAGTAGATTCGGTACGCAAACCTTGGCAACAACCTTACGAAGGCCCTTTTCACGTGATCGCTCGTCACGAAAAGACCTTCAAGGTTGATCGATATGGACGCGTCGAGATCGTCAGCGTTGATCGTCTCAAACCAGCACACGTCGATGACAGTGCCCTATCTGACACCCTGAGATTCAATGCTAGACCTATCAAACCTAGCGGGATCCTTAAATCTTCTTCAGGTCCCACGCTAGATGCATCTGAGACCTCATTCTCACGTCCCGGTCAACAGCACGCGTCATCTGCACCGTCTACGGACGAGACGATAGTCTCACGTCCAGATCAGCAGACCACGCCGCCTCTGACCTCGGATGAGATTGCAGGCTCACGCGATACGAACGAGACTGCCGTCTCACGTTCCGGTCGCCGAGTACGGTTGCCCGTACGCTTCCGTGAATAGTCGCACAGTCAACAGCCGATACGGTGTAGGGTTATTCCTATGCTACATGCATGCTACACTCCTCTTTTTTTATTTTCTTTTTGTTTCCTGAGCCCACGCCTTCGACCATCTCCGTTTGGTTCCGTCGACTTCAGTCAACTTTGGCGAAAGCTGGATTGGCCACCCACGCTCTTGTCAACGCACTCAGTCGATATATTGGTTTCGAATGCTTGGCATACGCTTGGTCTCGAACTTGGTCGTTACGGTCGCTTCTGGTCTTTTGGCTCAACGTGGTTTCGTCCTACGTCTGCAGCGTTTCTGGTGCGCACCTCTATGAACGCCCTCTTCAGATTCTGGATACAAACCACTCTGGTGTAGCATGCCAATTCGAGCAATAAATACAACACATCGCTCCTGGTACTGTTCTCCGAAAACGACCTTCGTTGGCAACTCGACGATCAACGATCGCTTTCCTGTTCGCCAATTCTTCCGTCCTACAATCGCTCGTCAGCTGATCAGTCCCACGATTCAAACCGCTATTTATCGAAAGTGTAAACCCTTTCTAGCGGGGGGCTCCTGTAGTGACTCACGTTTATCACGAGAACACGACTGGTTTAATAAAAACAATTATTATTATAACCAACTGTACCAGTGTTTGTTTTAACGTGCTTTTGTTTGACTGTGCTAATGACAGCTATTTTGTGCTTCCATTCTTATACTCACACTTTGATTGTAACTTCGCGCGAATTCGGTTACGTTCTGTAACCAAGCTTGTATCCTGGCACGATCTCGGTATCCTTTCGATACCACGAGATCGCCAGCAAATAAACCTCGACTTGGTCCATTAATTGCCTTCTGGTATTCGGCTTCTCGGGGATTTTATGGAGTCATTTGGAACGAGCTTCTTACGCCTTCTGATTCGCTTGGCACGTGTTTCTTGGTAGCGGTGTTCATAGTTAACCTCAACTCGACGCCACGCTACAATTGGTAATCCCAATACGAATACAATGGTATGAACCTTTGTTAGTGTTGTGGTAGATTCGACAGCGATGTTTCCAGTTTGCATATTTGCTCGATCGTTTATACCGACGACTCACATAGATGATTGTGTCACTAATTATCAGTCAGTTTGTCAGACGACTTTATCAACAGTTTCACCAATTTTATCAATCGCGTTGTATGATTGTCAAGTCATAACAATGTTTCATGACGATATATAGAAATCATTGTGAATAACTATTCATAATATTGATAAGGAGTTAGCCAATGGAGAATCAGCATTGTTGTTTTACGTAATTGCTAAATATCAAACGTTTGTAGCATTAATGGATCCGGGCAGCCCGATTATATTGCGAGTCACGATAGGGAAATATTCGTTCCTAATTACCTACTTGCGCCTGTTAACCCTCGTGGATGAACGCAGGCCGCCCACCAGCACTCTACATTCCAATCTGTTCTAAACAATCATTCCCAGTTGCTATTCACCATTTTCATGTCTGCTTCCAATGCCCATCTGTAGCTCTTCTAGAGTTACTCCTGGTACGAAGCCCAGTAAAAGGAGGAGGTTTCGGCATGAGGTCGGCAATTCAACCACGTAAAAAAATATTTTGTTAAATCACGCCAACCAGATCAAAGAAATATTTGTTCAGTTAGTGTTCATTTTGATAGTAGACTCCAGAATGTTTATTTTGAACGGCCGGTTGGCTGACAACTAAATGGCAATTTAATCATTATATCAGTGAAGTATGATGGCATCCTAGTGCAGTAACTTTATTATCGTAACTGTGTTAAGCGTCTTTACAGGTGCCCAATACGATGGCTTAATTCATAAACCCATATGCATATTGTGATAACGATTATGATGTGTTTGGTGGAAACTATTAAAGGTTGTTCAAATAATCGTTAAATTCAAATGGCATCGAGTTGACATGATGCAACGCGTGTACAAACCAGGTTAACGTGTATGTAGATGAGTAAAGCAACAATGAGAGAAGATACTTGTCAGAAAAAATTTAAGTGTTGACACATGCCTCATGAAACCACAGTTAGGTGGGTGAAGGGTATGATATAGAATTTTCATAAGTGAATGCTATAGTTAGCCTGATGACATTTATAAATGTGTAATGATAATCATAACTAAAGTGTCTACTTTGTAGTGACCTGCTTCTATCAAGAGAACATGACTGGTGTAATGGAAACAATTATAACCAATTGTACCAGGGATTGTTTTACCGTACTTGTTTGTTTAACTGTACCAAAACACATACATTCTTCCGTTGACTGTGACCCTGCACGAATTCGGTTACCCTCAGTAACCACACTTGAAGCCTGGCACGATCTCGGTATTCTTTCGATATCACGAGATCGCCAACAAATGCATCTCGACTACAGCGATCAACCGCCTTCTGATATTTGGCTTACGAGAGATCTTATCGGTTAACTGGCACGTAGTCTTCCTGTAGTGGTGATCTTAGTCAACCGCAAATCGACGCCACACTACAAATTAATTTGAAATCTAACCCTGTTGGAAATAACACACTTTCTTATAAAACTATGCTGCTGTTTGAAGCTAATAAATATATTCCGTTACCTACAAAACGGTCTTGTGAGTGGTTTGTATGAAATATATGCAATTGGTGTTAAGAAGTGTCGGACACATGGCCGATTATCCAGAGAAAGAGTGAAAATCTTACTTACTTACGCCTGTTACTCCCAGTGGAGCATAGGCCGCCGACCAGCATTCTCCAACCCACTCTGTCCTGGGCCTTCTTTTCTACTTCCATCCAATTCTTGTTCATTTTTATCATGTCTATTTCCATTTCCCGGCGTAATGTGTTCTTTGGTCTTCCTCTGCTCCTATGGCTTTAAGGATTCCATGTGAGGGCTTGTCTTGTGACGCAGCCGGGTGCTTTTCTCAATGTGTGTCCTATCCAATTCCAGCGCTTCTCCCTGATTTCTTCCTCCGCTGGGATCTGGTTTGTTCTCTCCCACAGTAGGTTGTTGCTAATAACAGGATAACAGGATATTATTATTATTATTATCATCAGTAATGTTTGAATAGTCTCTCTGTTATCATCGAGAACTTGATGCTTATCACTTTGTTAGCATATATGCATCATTTGAGCATTGCCTCAATATTAGTCATTATGTTACAAGTTATTTTGAATAAATGAATTGTGTCTAACGGTAGAATCGTAGAATTGTATTGAAAATCCTGACCTTGGTGTTGGTTGATAGAGAGTTGTTTTGAGTTCCCGATGTTCCTCAGTTGTAAATATGCTGCTCTTGCTTTGCCGATCCGCGCCTTCACATCTGCATCAGATCCACCCTGTTCATCAATGATGCTGCCCAGATATGTAAAGGTTTTTACATCTTCCAAATCTTCTCCGTCAATTGTGATTGGATTGGTGCATGCTGTGTTGTATCGGAGGATCTTGCTTTTCCCTTTGTGTATATTGAGACCTACTGCTGCTGAGGCTGCTGCTACACTGTTCGTCTTCTCCTGCATTTGTTGTTGCGTTTGGGATAGAAGAGCCAGATCATCTGCGAAGTCTAGATCATCCAACTGCATCTTAGATGTCCATTGTATCCCGCGCTTTCCTTCAGACGTTGACGTCTTCATGATCCAGTCGATCACCAGGAGAAAGAGGAAGGGTGAGAGTAAGCAACCTTGCCTAACACTGGTCTTCACTTCGAACGACTTTGCCTACTGTCCTCCATGCACAATTTTGCAGTGTAATCCATCATATGAGTTCTGTATGATATTGACTATCTTCTGAGGCACGCCGTAGTGTCGAAGAAGTTTCCATAGTGTTGTTCTGTCCACGCTATCAAATGCCTTTTCGTAGTCAATGAAGTTGATGTAGAGTGATGAATTCCATTCAATTGATTGTTCCACAATGATCCGTAGAGTTGCGATTTGGTCTGTACACGATCTATCGTTACGGAATCCTGCCTGTTGGTCACGAAGTTGGGCGTCTACGCAGTCCTTCATCCTGTTTAACAAAACCCTGTTGAAGACTCTTCCCGGTATTGAGAGAAGAGTGATGCCCCTGTAGTTATCACACTTGCTGAGATCGCCGTTCTTCGGTATCTTGATCAGAAGTCCTTCTTTCCAGTCTTTTGGTACTTGTTCTTCATCCCAAATCTTATTGAAGAGAATGGGAAGTATCCTTGCAGTTGCCGCTACGTCTGCTTTTAGTGCCTCTTCTGGGATGTTGTCCGGTCTTGCTGCTTTGCCACTCTTGATTTGTCTGTTGGCCATGCTGATTTCTTCAACTGTTGGTGGGCCAACATTGATTGGGAGGTCCGTTGGTGCTGCCTCGATGTTGGGTGGGTTCAGTGGAGCTGGTCGATTCAAGAGTTCTTTGGAGTGTTTTACCCACCTGTTTTGTTGCACTTCAATGTTGTTGATTACCTTGCCTTCCTTGCTTTTCACTGGTCGTTCTGGTGTAGCGTGGCGTCAAGTTGAGATTAACTGTGAACACCGCTACCAAGAAACACGTGCCAGATAAATCAGAAGGCGAAAATCGAACGTAACCAGATTTATTTCGTTGGCGATCTCGTGGTATTGAACGAATACCGAGATCGTGCCAAGAAATGGTACAAGTGAAAGCAGAAGACAGGAGTACGTGCGAACAGTACCAAAAACCGCGGAACAATGATGGAAGGTAATGGAAGCCCAAAATGGCTATAATTAGCACAGCTAAACAAAAGCACATTAAAACAAACACTGGTACAGTTGGTTATAATAATAATTGTTTTTATTAAACCAGTCGTGTTCTCGTGATAAACGTGAGTCACTACACTGGTTTGCGGCGAGTTTCTTTGTCGTGTCATACAATTGTCTCATGTTTCCTTCTCTTGCAGCCTTTTCCGCCACTGTTGCTAAATCTTCCACATATTTACGTTTGTCGGTTCTGATGCACCTCTTCACTTGTTTGTTTACTTCTGTGTATTCAGCTTGTGCCTTGGCTTATTCTGCTCTTGTTTGGCTGGTATTGATTGCTGCCTTCTTGTTCCTTCTTTCTTGAATCTTATCCAGTGTATCAACAGTGATCCATTCCTTGTGATGGTGCTTCTTGTGACCCAGGACCTCATGATATGTTGAAGTGATTGCCTCTTTGATCCCCTTCCAGTTGCTCTCCATGGTAGTTCCTTCTCCATTGAGTAGATCATGAAAGGCCTGGAACTTGTTGCTGAGGACTATCTTGAATTTGTTGAGTTTGTTAGTATCCCAAAGAAAGGCCGTATTGAACTTTTGTGATACTGTCTGCCCCGTTGTCCAGTGCTTCTTGAGTTTCAATTTCATCTTGGCGACCAGTAAGTGATGATCTGATCCTATATCAGCTCCTCTCTTGGTTCTCACGTCCTCTATAGTCCTCCTGAACGTTTTGTTGATGCAAATATGGTCGATTTGGTTTTGTGTAGAGTGATCCGGTGAAGTCCATTTGGTTTTGTGTATGCGTTTATGTGGGAATATAGTGCCGCCTATGACCAGTTTATTGAAGGCACATAGATTTGCAAATCTCTCACCATTTTCGTTTCTTTCTCCCAGTCCGTGTCGTCCCATGATGTGTTCATATCCAGTGTTGTCCGCTCCAACCTTGGCGTTGAAATCTCCCATCAGAATGGTCAGGTCTTTTGTTGGGCACTTCTCGACGATTGACTGCAGCCTATTGTAGAATTGATCTTTAGCGTCTTCATTGTAGTTGTTGGTAGGCGCATAGCATTGGGTGATGTTCATTGAAATGCCCTCTTTCTTTGTTTTGAAGGAGGCTTTGATGATCCTTGGTCCATGAGATTCTCATCCTATAAGTGCATTTTGCGCTTGTTTGGACAGC